CAGGATGCTATGCTTGCGGACTTCAGGGCTTTCATGAGTGCGGAAGACGATCGTCTCACTACAGCACTCGCTGGATTCCTCGCCACTTGGGCGAAACGGACGAATGAATAGATAGAGATACTTATGCAGTATTTGCACGGTGAAAACACTTTATTAATGGTCATATTTGTCTATTAAAAAGATGATTTTGATTAATTAAATTGTGGTCTTGGTGTAAAAGTCGCTTCTGGTGTTTTTGTTGATACTCCAGCCGGAATCTGTACAGACTCGTTATCCACATTGCTGCATTTTTGTGCGTGGGAACCGTCCAGACTGATTGACTGACCACTAGGAGAATTGAAACTCAGAAATGGATGTCGCAGTGCTTCGTAAGCGGAAACCCGTTTGTTTGGGTTAGGCTCAAGCAGCTTAGCCAAAAGGTCATATGCGGACAGGGGAAACACATGTGATGCGGGTAGTGCAATCGGGTTTTTCTTTGTCTCCACACCGGTCACAGCACTGCAGGTTGCGCTCTTGTCTGCGAGTTTTTTCTCGTTGGATAAAAGAGGTGGAAGTCCAGCGAATTTCTTCTCCTGTTTCCGGATCGCCACACATCTAAAACAGGGTGTGGATGAAGATGCAAAGAGAAAGAATACGATTTGCAACTTAAATGATACCTTTAATTCGAATTAAGGTGGTAGATTTATCCCTTTGTCATGCAGAAAAGGATGCTAACTTCTAGGTAGAATTCACAGGAAATGTACAGATCGTTGTGTGGACTCTTGCACCCCTAAGCCGAAAACCTCTTCTAGGCTTGTGATTTTGTTGTGTATTGATCCTTGGCCTGTGGTAAGCCCAATATAGAAAAGGAATCGGTATGAGCATTAGTCTCGGATAAGATTTCCACAGTTTGAAACGAAACGCAATGATGAAGGTGTCACTGTTGGGTGAGTGGGATTCCTGCGGAAACAGGCTCAATGATGCTTTTAGACCGAAAATTTATAAACACTTCTAATCGTGACAAACATTTTACACCTTGTTTTTGTACTGTTAACTGACTTCTGTCGATCGAGATTCATCACCTTGCTCGTGATTTTTCACCAGATCATTCATATACCTGTCTGGTTTGTGCATTTTTTCACACATTTCTAATTTGCAAGGAAAGTATATTGACTTATTCGGAAACCGCTTATTGGATACTAGTGAGTAAAGGCCACTCAAGTGAAGGTTAGCAGCATCTAGCCCGCTTAAACGACATCAAATCACAGCAATGATCAACAAACAAAATACCCCCATTGTTGTAAGTACTCTGCAAATTATGACATTTACAAAATTAAAATCCTACGAAGCATTTGATCGAAGAGGTGGCGGAGGATATTGTTTAGGCGGAAGAACCAGAGTGCGATTGGATTTTAAAACATGATCAGAAGAAGAACGCAATATCCAGGGAGAAAGACAGCAAGCACAGTTGATATAAGCAGATGCGCAGCAATAACTCTACTTATGGTACTACCGATTAATTTACCGACCTTAACTTGAGCCACGTGGCCGGAGTATCGGACGCGTCCATTGGTGGTGGTTTCGGGTCAACCAATAGCCGTCGACCAAGTGCTTTTGCACAAGCCTGCATTCGTTCATACCCGATCAAATGTGTGAATGCGTGCAGAACATCCAGATCGTCGTCCACTTTAATGAAAGGGTACCGCCCGGACAAAAACGAGAGTAATATAACTCCGACCGCCCATACATCTACTGCCGTGGTCTGCTCTGTGTGACGCATCATTACTTCGGGTGGCCGAAATCCTAAAGTTCCACCGCGGCGAGCTGCAGTGATGCGAGGCAGTTGTCGACAACCCCGACAGACCGTCAAGCGGAAACCGCACGCACATGCTCCAGGAGTGGCGGACTGAGTGGTACTCGTTGATGAGATATGACTTGGAGTAGCACGTGAAATTCCTCGATTGGAAAGAGGCGTGGCGGGAATTCGCATGGATGGGGATCCATCAGAGGTAGAAAGTAAGGTGCCGCTCTCCGAATGTGAGGGTGTTTGGATCGGAACTGGATTGTTGTCCAATCTCGGGGTTTTGGGGGGATTGTTCTCCTGAAAGATTAGGAAGCACCTCGTATCACTGAGTAAAGTTAACAAGGCAAGGTCATCAGGAGTTCTGGCGTAGAGATTAAAACAATATCACAAGTACTTTTAACAAAGACATTCAAAAAATTAGTGGAATACTTATAGATAGGATCTTCTATCATTTTGGTCCATTTGATTAGCGTCATCCACGGTAATGTGTGGTGTAGTACGGTTTTTCAAGAAGTAAACACGTGTAGGGTGAGGTTTCGTCTTCCTCTCTTGATCATGTTCAACAAAAGGCCATGTGACTGATCCATGATCCTTCCTTAGCCTCAGACCATTGTCGGGCAAATGCTACACTGTCCGTTTCCCACCGTTATTACTTTAGTTTTTATTTTTCAGAGATTGTTTCGTCTGTTCCCGCACATCCCGTGCACAGGCAGCTATTCAACTTTAGTAGAAATTCGGTCGCTAGATGTTTTATTTATTTGCATGTCTTTTATTTTTCATTTTTACTTCCTTTTATTGAATGATACAATTTTAAGGAAGGAGAAGCGGTCAATAAGAGGTTTGCTGGACAACACATAATGGGGAAAGTTTTCTGCCCCGAACTGCCAACTTGTGGAACACCCTCACACTTTCTGTCTTTCCCTCAACTTACGATGAGCTAATGAATTGGGTCAATACTATAGATAAAAAGGCCCACTGTGCAGTGAAGAGAACTAGGAGGTTACGTTATGGTTGTAGTTGTAATTAGAAGATTTCTACTCCTCTAAAGTGAAGTAAACTAATTTTATACATAGGGACGAGAAGTTATCGTATTCGGAGCAAATGAAAGGTGAAGCCAAAAATTTCGACTGTGTTAATCTTATTCAGTATTATCGAAAATGAGGATCATTCCAACGGAGGTTTATCAAGTATTCGCAACTGAACACAGAAGAAAACAGACCAGTCACCAGGGGTGAATCAAAGTATAGAATAAACTTGTTCCGGGTTTAGTTGACTATCAGTTTTTTGTGAGAAAAAGACGCAAGTTATTCTCGAAACCATTATGTGATCACAACTTGCATCACGCTGGGTCGCGATACCATTCGACAACGTATCAATTCGTAAAATACTATTTTNNNATTTTATCGCGGTTCGAGTCCTGACAGGGACACAAAAAGTACGCACTGCTGACGAGTCCCAAACAGGACGAAACAGCTGTCCAGTGCTCTTTGTCGGTTATCACAAAAATTTCCATTGCACTATTTTATCTCCTTATCTAAACTAACAACTCATATCGGGGGCAGCGATTCTGAAAACGAATCACCATGGATAATGCTGGCACACCTAACGGTCAACTCATACGACAGAGGAAGATCGGAATCGATCGGATCTAATTCCCGCTGACCACAATACCCACATAAGGTTCCACTGGAAACACAAAACCGTGTCAACGTAGTGGTATTAAACTTATCCTAGGGAGACTTCTCGACTTATAGCACACGAACGATATTTTATTTCTGCGTGGGGATCAAACTGGAAACTTTGATGAATAATTTAGATAGCAAGATTTTTCGCGCGTCCTTTCACGAATGAAAATACTTCAGTATACCACTCTGACTATAAATATCGTAGTTGGCATTCAAATACTGAACTCGTTTTTTTGTTTTTGGCACATTTTTGCGTCGTGAACAAGGAAACGGAGTACATTCCTCAGTATTTTTATTTAAAAAAATGATGGATGTGATGAGAGCGAAACTGCCGTCCACCGTAAATGAGAGACGGCAGCGGTGTTTGGACACACTGGTTGGAGCAATGTCAACCAAACGGAGTGATTATTTCTAATTATTCGACAACAGCGGTAAACAGACTAATGAGAATTCACTCTAAGCGAAACAACGATGCCCGCAGTGCATAGGCATGAGATCAATATGCAACTGTGTTACACATCTTCACAGTCCATACCTTCCTGAGAGAGAAAACCACAACTGATCTACTTTTGCATTGGTCCGGGAAAACTTTGATTGGTCGTAACCCCTTTCTTCATTAGTAATTGTAGTCGGAAGTAAGAATATTGTCGGTACATCATGACAGAGCGAAAAACAATGAAGCGAACTTCAATGGTCGCTGTCAAACTCGCAATGCATGCAAAGATCGCGGCAATATGTCACGCTGATAGGGGTTGGGCCTATTTTTAGGGAAGGAGAAATAAAGTGAATCTCTTTGGTCAACAAAGAGTACACATCTGTGTACACATACCATTTCAAGCATTCTACCCCGATAAGAAATGAAAGAAGAACGCCACTGCTGTCGGTTCGCTATCATATCTCTCACCGTCACCAAACCACCAGTTGCAGTCTTCTGGACCCCAACCTGGAAGACGGAGACACCTACTCGATCTAACAGCTCTGTGCATTTCTTCATGCCTCGTCTGCACATCATCCGTTGATCTCCACGTGGTTTCCTCCAGCCCGGATTAGCTACAGCGAATAAGGCGCGGTGCGGCAGACGACAGCTGGGCATACGCAATATGTGCCCTAGCCAGCGAAGTCTACTAACCTGAATTTGATGAGCTAGCAAGTTTATCCCTGACAAACTCCCAAACACACGACGGTTTACCTCCAGATCACTAAACCGTTCGCTTCATCCCAAATGGGCTAAACTACGTAAGCACCGATAATCGAAAACTTCCACTCGATGAATATCCACTCGCAACTTCACGGTCTCACAATCGTAAAGAATAACTGAACAAACGGTAGCATAATGTACATGACCGTTCAACTTCAGTGAAACGTCGCGTCCACGCCAAAGTCGTTTCAGTCCTGCGTATGCTGCTCGAGCCTTGGAAATGCGGGCGGGTATCTCCTTTGCTGCGCTACCGTCATTGATCACGCAGCTACGAGAAGTAGTCAACTTCGGCTGATTCCTGGCCATTTAGTTTCAGAGGGGGAGTAGGCGAAACCCAGTCCTGCAACATCACTTTGCACTTTGAAGGTGCAAAGCACACACCGAATGTGGCAACAACATTTATTAGTCTATCAAGTGAGCCTTGCGCGTCCTCCGTACATTCGAACAGACAGGCAATGTCATCAGTGTACTCCAAATCGTACAGCTTTTCTCTCGCTGCCTATCCACTACCTTCCTTTTGCAGACCACACAGTGCGTTCTCCGGTATTTCGTCTACGACAAAATTGAACAGGAATGGCAAAAGAGGGCACCCTTGAAGAGCGTCGCTGCTGGTGACGAACGACCTATTTAGTTCGTTATAAACCCTCACTCGACCAGAAGTGTGTGAGTACAGTGACCTTAGTAAGTTAAAGTACTTCTGTGGAATACCTTTGCGAGGAAGCGAACGCTTTAGACTTTCGTGATCAACTGAGTCGAAAGCTTCTTTAAGGTCCAGGACGTCCGCTCCTGTTGCTTTTCTTCACTTCAGTTTGAATGCAATATCGGACTTCTGCCGGAGGATAACACGATACAGTCCACGAAGCTTCGGTTATAGATGAGGTCATCTGGTTAGCACCAAGCCAGCTGAACTGTTCGCTGAAGTATCGCGCCCAGCGATCAAGTCGTTCAGCCCTATTTTGAATAGCTTGTCCCCTTTATCGGATTGTTTCACTAACTGGGGTTCACCGACCTCCCGTGTTGTATATCAGCTGGAACAGTTTTTGACTATTCCTTGATCTAGCAGCTACTTCTAGTTCACTAACTATTGTTACCCACAGTTCTCACGGTCCTTCATGAGGCTTTTGGTGAGCTGACGATGCAGATGCCAACTGCCTCTGCTTGGATCCTGGCAGGTCAGGACTACTGACTCATGACATATCCGATACCTCGCATGGGCTTGAGGATCAGACCCACAAACAACATTCACCGCGAAATACTTATCTGATCCCGCTGCTCATCTACACTGTTACGCCGGGGCGCGCTCAACTCACACACTAACTCTGACACAACGTGCTGAGGTCGACAAGCGATGATGAGCTAACCGAGTTTCCTGGTTTGGTCGACCAGTAAATTGGAGCGTGAAGTGCATCAAAATTAATAAGTTATCAAATTCAGAGCAGGTGGCCTAATATAACTTGCGGTTTTGTAGTGAGCCACGCCAACGGCAGCTTACTACAATATGGTCGATTTGAGTAAGCATACAAGTGGACCTGGAGCGCCACGTTGCCGTCCGTTGGAGGCTACGTCGGAAGTTAGCACTGAACAGGAATAGATGAGAATCTGCGCAGAACTGAATAAGTCGATCGCCGGTATCCGTTCGCTGGCAAGGTAGCGCATAACGAGCGCCTAGGCAAGCTTCTGATGCGCTCAGTCTTCCAATCTGTGCCTTAAAATCACCTGCAAGTAAAACTATATCGCAAATTCGACTTACTCGAATGAGTTCGGTGAGTTTGTCGTGGAAATCGTCCTTTTGTGTATCAGAACGGTAGTCGGTCAGTGCGTATGCTGAAATGATGAACAAACACCTTTTGGTATTTTTACCCTTCCGGACGCTGATTGACTCCTGGG